AGGACTGGCTAGCGATGACTGGTTCAGAGAGGGCACTGGCGAGGTTAGATATGGATGAGAGATATCATGTCTCGATCTCGTGAAAGAGAGGCCGCTATCACGCGAGGCGTCATGTTTCGTAGAAAAAGCCACTCTTGAGCGCCTCGTCTGCTCTGAAATAAGTACAGTGAAAGAACACAACAATCTGTGACTGAAACCTGGTGGTTACTGGTACTTGCGATGACGGGGGTCTTGCGAATGACCTAAGCCAGTGAGAGAGAAGGATCGTGACTATAATCGGTCACTTTATATACTAACTATTCCCTACCAGACGTAGTGCTGATCTACTCTTCTCTCAACCCTAAGCATTCTGCTGAACTTGTGTCTAGATCTCCAACTCTATCGTCCGGCCATGTCGAGCACTAGTCAAGATGCGCCAGCGTATGCACCATCCGGAAGTCAAGGAAAGGTCCACAAGTCTAATTCATCTCTGAGTCTCTCTTCCACTTCGGAATCCAGACCTTCTGCCACAGCCCCATCTGTATCAAGAGAGCGAGGCACAGACCCTGATGCTGCTTGGACGGCCAGGTCATGGGTAGGAAGATCTAGTAAGAGCAACATGTTTAGAGCACTACAAAAGGCGGGCGAAGACGTCAGTGTATATGGCAATGCGCCTTGGAAAGACTTCACGGCAAAGGATTTCGCTATGGCTTTGGTCGCCAGTCGCAATAAGCGCATCGATCAAGGACTTATCGAAGGAACACCAATTATAGGTGGTGACTATGAGCGAAAGCCGCGATCCATCAGCTCCACCAAAAAGAAAGATATCACCCATATACACACAGCTCCGGCGAAAGAGCCCGAACCGATCTCGAAAAGCCAACTTATGTTCATTTTGAGGAGCCTCCATTCACACCTTCTCATGATCAAAACTGCTGCTATTGACGAGGCAGAAACCTCACAGCACGGCAGCCCACAAGCGGGAGTAAATGACACAAATGTATTCGTCAACCCTTATCCAGAGCTCTGCAGCACACCCGGGTTTGAGCTTGACGGGACACATCCCACAGAGTACAGGATCATGTTTGACAGTTGTTCGAAGCCCATAATCTCAGAGAAAGCCCAAATGCTGGTCCGCACGGTCTTGCACCATCAACACGAACTTCTCTTCTACCACAAGCAGTGCGGAGAAATTAACCGTGACAGGAAACACTACTTGGCGTGAAAAGAAGTCTACTATATCCAAAGGATTGAGCTGTGGCGCGAGATGATGAAGAGCGTAAGTGTTGATACTGATAGTGAACTCGGAAATCAGGTGGAGGCTATTGTCAACGACACTTTTGTCAATGTAGATGATCTGGAGAGGGATGGCCGACTTTAGGAAAGCCGCGACGAAAGTCCGATAGTGTTAGTCTGCTAGACATGTAATAAATCGTGCTCTTAGAAGCTAGTGTTGCGAGCGGGAGTGCTTTCGCGCGTGCTATGTGGAACGAAGGGGCAAGCTTTGGAGGTCCGGAGATGGCTGAGGTCACGTGGGGAAGATTGCATCGGGAGAGTGACGTCATCGCTTTGGCGAAACTTTGCGACGCGTCGCAATCAACGGCCGTAACACCACTACCCAGCCACAATTTGAACGGCTGTCTCCAGTCCACACTCCTCATCCCAAACTACACGTCTTGTTCAAAGGCTACGATCAGTACGGGCAGCATGAAGCGCCTCATGCTCGACCAACTGGCCATGCAGCGGCCTACCAGGGGTGGCAGCCAGAGCGGTTCAGGGCTCACTCTCTCCAACTCAGCAAGCATGGAAAAGGATCGAGCTTGAGAACAGATTTTGGAACAGTTGTTATACACCGTATCATGGCTGACCACTAATACTACAACAAGACAGCTGTACACAAGCAAACGTTCCTCCTCTCGTCCACAAGCCCCGAGCCTGCGATCGAATATGCTCCCGCAGTCGATTCGATTGACACGCGTCAAATGCCGTACTACTCATCATCTAGAGCGAATTTGTCGTCAGAAGGATCGGTCAGGCTCCACAGCATCTTGTCCTCCTCAGCGCGACGCTCGTCCTCGGCATCCAACTCACGATCGCCGATCCTGCCTGGGTACCCAGGTGCCAGAAGCTTGTCGAACAGAATCCGCCCACCGACCGCAACATCGTCACTAGCTTTGGCTCGCGAGACAGCACGCTGCTCTTCGTGGTCGAGGCTGTCGGTAATAAATGCAGGCAGGGGTGGAATGTAGTGCCTGAACTGATGGGTACACCGACTAGTCTGATGGCCAAAGCGATACTGCTTACTGCGGAAGCGCTTGTTCTCAGGACCAGGAGCTTTCGCGCAAATTTCGCACTCGATCGTCTCCTTTACAGGGCACGCGTCGGCGTCATGCACGTCTGCCTTTTCACAGTACCAACAGAACTGAGCGGTACCCCACGTCTGAGGCGGGATAGCCTTCTTCTCCTCTGCAAGATCCATCCAAATATCGTTGATGGAACGACCGGCGATGGTGCAGTCTGACGGGAATCGATTGCCAGCCGTATCCGGAAACAAGACTGGGAAGAGGACAACGAGAAAGAACAGTGTTGTCTCATACACTGCATCGTTGGAGCTGTTGTGTAGCCAGATATTACTTGTATCGATTTGGAACCCACGAAGAAGCTCGACGAACCTCGGCAAGCTCTCACCGCGTTCTTTGTCTGGAACAGCGACGATACCGGCGTGGCTCGCCAGTGCCCCAAGCGATCGGATCGTAAGAACGATGCTGTCAAGCTTAGCCGTGTTAAGATTCCATTGCTCCTTTAGCTGGCGCTCATCATTGTTCAATCCTTGACCAAAGAAGATTACTGGCCTCTTCGACCCATCGTCGCAGCGCTGGTTATTCAGAAACTGGACAAGGACTGCTTGAGCCTCAGACTTCGTAACAAAGCGCGTTTGACAAAACCTTGGGTTCAGCTCGGTATCACCGAAAGGGATACCAAACTTGTCTTTCCCCTTGTTCCGCATGTGACACGTCTCCACAATGCGTAGGTGATGTACCGCGATGTTTCGAATGAGGTTTTCGAAATCGCCTGGGCTCGTGCAACTCCGAAGCTTCTTCATCGGGAAGACGACGAGACCGCCCTCGTTGATGATCTCCATTGGGTTGTCGGGAGGTTGGTTGTACCATTCGAGGTCTAGACAAACTCCCAGCGTGTCGTCCCACTTTGCCGGTGCGCCCGGGATTGGAGTAGTGCTGAAGCTGCGGACGAGGTCAAGAGCTTTGCGACCCTTGCAGAAAGCCTTGACACCCTCAAGCGTGTTGGGATGTATCGTAGTAGTCGAAGCCATATTGAGTGCTCGCGGTGTAGGGCTTTGACAGTTAGCCCAGGTCACAGAATGATTAGAGGCTTTCCATACCTCTATATATCCGGAGATAGGGAAGTGGTAATTCGAAAACACCGATGTGAGGATTCTGATATAGATCACACAACTTTCGCGTTTCGATATAATGTTTTTTGGCCGAGGAGTCGAGTTGAGCTTCGCCACGATGGTCCTTTGGAACAGAAAGCAGTGTTAATATATTGATAGAGGAGAGCAGCCTGGGAACTAGCCTGTGAAATGCTAAGAGAAAGAGTCAATTGCATCAGTGACGACATACGCAGCGTGTGGCCTCCAGACAACAGAGACCATATTCATTACCTCTGTTTACTAACTCACTAGGCCGACACAGAGTGCCGAGGATGGACTTACAGGATCAGTGTCGACATCAAGCAGCTAAATACCGAAAGCTTTCAAGCAGCCAGCAAACCAGCTGTTCGCTTGATCGTACTTGCAAGCCAAAGACTGGATGGTGACAAGCTCTGGGTAGATGTCTGCCAACAAGCGTCTGAATCATGACATGCCTTGTAAAGATAGTCCGAATTTAGCGTGTCTCATCTTCACATTAGCAGTACAAGGGACATATGGTCCTGAAAATGGCGTTCAAAGACGTTCATACTGCTCAAGGGTTTCACAACTTTTATGAGTGTTATCAACTGGTCTTCTTGCAAGCATGACCAACGTAAATCCATCCCCCGTTGACTTGCCAAGTCACTCTAACCGCCCACATGCTAAGGCTCAACTAACTTCTCCAAGATCTCATTCATAGCCCTGTCTGCCTCGCCCATCCTAGCCTCGTGATCTTCCCCGGGAAGCTGCCATGAGAGACTGTTTTGTAACCTCTCCCAGAACTCCAGGTAATCTCTCATTGGCTCCTCCAGGACTGTCTCGACCTCATCCTCCGGAGTCTCAGCGTTGACCCGGCGAAGTTGTGCTGAGATATCGAGGAGGAGCCGGATCATGTGCTGAGAATAGAAGTCGATCATGATAGGCGGAGCAGCGAGAGCTAATGACGTGGGCTCGTGGCGTGCACCGAATCGGTCAGGGTCGAGAGACAGATCCTTCTCCTTGAGTAAGTACTCCTTGGCAAGGCTAAGCTTGCTGCGCAGCATCCCGCGGTATTTCGCCTCTTCACCGGGACCGAAGTTGGCAAAGTCAGGCGCATCGTTGGTTTTGGTGTCGACAAGCGCTGTGACAGTAAGCTTTAGGTGCTTGAACCCGTTGTCTTGTTGGTTGAATGCGACTCTTGAATCGGTGTTGCGGCCACCTCCAACCTGGCCAGAGACCCAATAACGGCGGAAGTCATCGTCGCCGAATGCGAGAGCGGTTTTGTCCTTGTCGTTGACGCCGATTTTGCGGGTGCGTACGGGCATTGTGGGTGTAGCTGGGGTTCAAATTTGCGGTCGCGATAGGAGTATGAGGGAGCAAGTGATCGAATTATTTTACGATTGCGACCTCGCCGTAGAAGCAGCTAGAGAGCGGGGGTGCTCAAAGGCAACATCAAGGCAACGGGGGCAGTGTTTGGTGCAGAGCTTGAAGTGTTGGTGAGCACGGGCCGCGAGTCGCATTCACTACCGTATCGTCATAATTTCTCCTTATCAAGCAATTGGTAGAGCTACAGACTGGGCACAGTGAATGTGATACTCTGTGCGCTCATGACCTAGAACAAACTATCTAGGTAGTCTGAGCTTTCCGGGCACCCAATATGGACTACGCCACTAAGAGCCTGTCCTGCCTCTAATATCTTTTCGGCCTCCTCCAAAGCAGACTCGGTGGCCTCACTCAACTGCTTGGTTTCATTGTCATATGGGACCACCTCCTGCCGTTGCGGATCATAATGTGCTTTGTGATAGTAGCTGATACCGCTCTTACGAAGACGTCTTAGTAGACCAACTAGTGCCATGATCTCTCCTTCGATGATCATAGGGAATGTTGGAGTGTCGAAAATGCGGATCTTGGACCGGAATTCTTCCTGTACTGAGTTGTATGCTTCCATCAATCCATCGCCCTCTCGATCTTCAATCTCGTCGGGGTCTGCGATGCACCAGTTACCATCTTTATGAAGATCATGAGCGATGTGCGAAAGTTCCCACATGATCAGCTTCATACCCATCGCGCTGATGTACACATGCGGGTCGTGAGATTGGTGAGCGGACGACGGCGGCGGCTGGAAAATGATCTGTGAGGATCTCCACGACCCAATACCAGTGTGGGGGGATCTTTCTGACTTTGGGCCCTGAAACAACCTTCTCACCTCTCTGGAATACTGGAAGATGTCACGACGAATCTTTCGACTGTATATGAACAAAGCTTGTTGTGCGAAGGCATTCGCAACCTGCTCCCTTGTCAACACTCGCGCTATCTTAGCGTTCCTGCAAGTGCACGGCGAGTCGACAAGGATGTTGGGCTTTGCTCTGTTGTAGGCTTCATGAAGTTCCTTTTGTGGGTTGTCTTGGTGCCAATCAGGTTGTTTTTCATCCTCGTGTGTATGCTTGCGTTTCAGTCCTGCGACGGGGGGCGGAATATGTGAGTGCGATTCTGGTTCATCGTGCTCAAACTCCGGAACGCCTTGGGGTATCGCACCTGATGGAACAGGGTCTGCAGCTGCCTCGGGCTCCGCATTCGATGTGCCGTTATCGTTCGCTAGAGTGGGCTCATAGCTATCTTCTTTGCTTGGTTCTGACAATTCTTCACTGGGAGTTGAAGGTAGTACTGTGGAAGCTGCAAGAACCAGATTGTTCCCCTTCCGTACCTTAACGTGAGCCAGTAGAGCTTCGATTATTGCATCTGCGGATGTCTTCGGGGCCTGTAGAGATATGATATCGTACCCATCGTCCTTTAGCAACTTCAATCTTTCGATGTTGTTGGCTTTCTGCTTCCATGTCTTCTTATCCCAGACTTTGTCCAAGCTCAGGCCCTTGTGAGCGATGCCTTTACTTGCTTTCTCTTCCCACATCCGATTCTCTGACGAGAGTTTCGCGCATGGATGTGATTGTGGGATGACAGGAGCCTTCTCGAGTGGATCGATGGCGGGTGCTGGCGGACTGCCGGCAAGATCATCAGTTCGCGAACGTGTCGATGTTGAAGCTGAAGGAGGTACGGGGTCCGCGAGGCAGCTTTCCGCCTGCGTGATAGAGACAGCATTCCTCTCGCGCATTCGCTTGATCAGGTCTTCACTCGGATGTTGGTAGTTTGAGCCATTGGCAAGCGCTTGCGCACGGCACAGTTGATCGCTGGTGAGATCTTTTGGCTTACTGTTTACCGTGTTCCACGCATGGTTGATACAGTGAGGCTCAAAGGCGACAAAGCGGCCAGTCTTTTGTGAACGCTTGTGAATCCTCCTATCAATGCACTGCATCTTATACGAAGCAAGTCTTATGATGGTGATTAGTGTCTCGTAAAAGTGCAAGGATGGTATTCCGTACCGGTTTGCTATCCAGGTACCGTTTAGCACTTTTCCAAACTAACGTGCTTGGATGAAACTGGGTGGTTCTTCCGTGCAGGACAAGAAGACCAGCCAAAGAAGTAGAGCCGAATGGTTGTGCGGAGAGTGAGAGGTCCTCGGAGGGTGTAGTCCGCGCCCGTAGTTATACAGGAAGCAGGTACATCTTGTGGGGCAAATCGCTTTCCCTCCACGTCGTATGACATGATCTTTGGCGCGTGCGAGTGAAGCTGAATAGCTTTCACCAGGTTGAATCACCACGATGTCTGTAAAGAGAACTACCTGAGAAGCGGGTTGAAGCAAGCCAGTAGGATGCAGCTGCGGGCCGAGCTCTGGCATGTAGCATCTGTAGAAAGTCAATCGTATAGCTGCCGTAGTGAATACACCGGATCTATATCCCTGTGCTAATAGTCGGACGCATTGTAGAGTGCAGTTAAACGACGAAAGCTTCAAGTGGATTGCCCCATTCTGAACTGATCAACAGAGTTGACTTAATGGCGTGAGAAAGATGTAGCAACCTCTTGTCAGCGAAGCCATTGGTATTGAGTTCATCGCGACAAACAAAGTCTAATGTTTCAATATTTCGAGCTCGCAAAGCAAACCTTCTCATGTGAGCAGCGCCCACCTAGATTTGGGAAGCTCCCGCGAAGGCAATAATAGAATGAGACAGGACTCTAGTTCTTTATGGCCACGTTTGAGGCTCGAGGCGCTATAGTGGAACGGGATGACAATGAGATCGCTTGTTCGACGTGACGGGCGACAGAACCGTTGAGAAGATGCGCAGCAGATATCCCTGGAAGGAGCGGACCGCTCGATCATCATTGAAAATAGAGTGTTGGAGTAAGCACGCGTCTGATAAAATCTGCAGCAGTGTTGCTCTGGCTAAGAATTGACGCGTTGTTCTGGCAAGCAGCTTAGGGGCCTCGTCACGTAATCTTCTCGCAGTGTAAAAGAACACTTGCTTTCTTCGTGGGCATAGGTTCCGAGATGGCGCTGATGGTGTAGGTGATTGAATTTGGTTGGTGTAACAGACACGAGGTGACGAGGTCCGGCCAAACCTCGGCACCAAGCGCGTGGGCGACGTGACACACTAACTTTAGTGGCGTCATTCATCCAACCTCCTTCAATCCAAACACATATTCCCTTTTGACATTATTCCTTTCAGTCTGACTGCCCTGGTCTAGTCTCGTAGAGACATCGCTGGATGAGTACATAGGCCCTGTCTCGCTTTCAGTCCTCGTGTCTTTCGGATACGGCTTCGACCACCTCACGCCGTCAAATCGCGACAATATGCATCGCGACCTGACTGAGTCCATTCGGCAAGTACATGCTCACTCATCTATTCGTCCTGCATTCTCGATATCGCGTCCGCTTCCAATGAGGTGTACGTCCATCGCGCCATTTCCTCAACGCTCACCGTCTCCTCGTCTCCGCCATCGTGTCATCTTGTTCAATGTTATCAGCTGCATGGTCATTCCTGTACTTCGAAGATACCTTCAACGCGAGTAGACGTTTGATCGAACTTTGGCGCCGCTTACGCGCGCATCCGTGTGTGTTCATGTCTCCGCCCGTTTGTTATCGCGGTGTCACGTGACAAGGCGCTTGCTGCCTTCAGGGCAGGCTGCTTGCTATTGGCTGTCCGTGCTAGCACAATCAACTCTATCGGCACAACCAGCTGTACCGATACTACATTGTTTTAAGCACCGATCTCGTCTTCCCCTCGCTGCAGCGGACTGGCAATGGCCACGCCTGGCAGCAACCGCTATGCGATGTTCGCTAGCGCAGACAGCAGCGAAACTCCCGTCCGCAGTCCCGCTATTGACCGTTCCCAAAACCCATTCCTCAACCAGATTGCCGATGACTCGATACCATGGCAAGAGGTCAAGAAGCGCGGCGCTCCTGCAGTGCAGCCGGCACCACCGGTTCGACGCTCTCCACAGGTGCTGAATGACCGCACCAAGGCTATCCTCAACCGCCGGCGCGCCCAGCAAGGACAAGAGCGCATCGTCTCAGGCTCGCCGGACAACACGCCCGAGAAAGCATACGATCCACACGAGAACTGGTGTGGCGTCTGCTCGTACAAGTTCGCCAACAAGGCTGCACTGCTCAGTCACATCAAGCAGAGCGTCGGACACGAAAACTATTGCAACCTTTGCAAGCGCGTCTTCTTGGACCGCAATGGTCTCAAGAACCACGTCGACAATGCAGCGAATCATGAAGTTCATTGCAATCTCTGTCTCTCCGCTTTCAAGGACGACTGGGCTCTCAAGAACCACCTCGAGAATAACTATAGTGTCGGCCATGAGTGGGTGTGTCTCACCTGTCTGCTCGGCTTCAAGACTCGCGCTGAGTTGGAGCGACATCTTCAGACCGCTGCGAAGCATACGTGGTGCGGAACATGCCAGCGCCGCTTCCCCAATCAGGATATGCGCGACGCGCATTGGGAACAGACGAACAGTAAGTGGTTTGAGGGAATCTTGGTTGCGAGCTCGTGTCTTTTTGTCTGGTCAGAGCGTTCATTCTCTTGTTCAACGATTACTTCATCTTTACGACTTGACTGACCAAGGTAAGGGCACAAGCATTGCTTACAACCAGGTTGCGATTTCGATGGACCGGACCAGTCAACGCTTGCACGACATCTCAAGAGTGATCACTTCCAGTGCGAAGGCTGCAAGCGCATACTACCGAGCTTTACCAAGCTCACGCAGCACTACGAGAGCTGTGCATTCGCACTTGCCTGCCCCCAATGCGGCGAGCACTGTGCTGGAAAGACCCAACTGGGTATTCACCTCGAGAACTGTTTCCTTTGCGAGGAATGTGGCTTCCACACTCACCACGAGGGCAACTACCACATTGTGAGTGATCTGCCACGCGACTGACTCACGACTGCCACGCTGACAACACACCAGCACATGACTAAGCACAGGTCCGCTGACATTGGCTGTTGGGCTTGCGACGCACCGATGCGCACCTACTCCAGTCTCATCAATCACTTGGAGTCAGGCAAATGCCCCCACTTCAACGACCCGGCGCTTCTCACGCGCTGTCTCGGAAAGTGGTGGTACTCCGCGCTTTACATGGATCTCGATATGCATGCATCCATTCGCATAGGCCGCGTCGATATCCGCGAGGTACAGCGTTGGTCGGCTTCCGGAGACCTACACCCTTTCGTGTGTCGCGATGAAGGATGTGGAAAGGTCTTCGGTCATCTGAGTTCACTGGTATTGCACTGTGAGAGCCAGGCTTGCGGTTGGGGTGTCGATCGCTTGAACATGCCCGGGCTAGAGAAGGAGTTCAAGCAGATGTGTATTCGGAGGGATAGTGCTAGTGCCTAGAAGCGAGTACAACCTCCGATGGTAGTGGAGATGCTCGAGGACCGATCTGGAACGCGGAGGACAGTCATTCGGTCTGTCTCTTCCATACTACTTGAGCTACGCCTGAAGATGCTCATTTCATACTCAAGACTCAGTCGTATAGCTTTTAAGATACCACGAAGAGTTCACTGACACACTTTTCATGACGTGGTGTTAACTCGTTCCAAGTGTATCCGACCATCACATCGGTCGCGCCAGTGAATCGATCACTATACAACCAGAAGATGCGAACTCTGAACCCAGCTGACTATAGTTATAGTTTTACAAACGAGCTCATTCGACTCTTTTTTGGCCTTTTGAACGCGTCATAACGTGTGTCACGCCAACCGTTCATCATGACCTTGTCACAGTCTCACCGCCTCCGCTCACCATTATGGCTGCCCTTACCCTCTAGACGCCCAGTGATCTTCTTCTCGAACTCATCAGGATGGAGCGTCCTGCCTGTCTTGTCCCTGAATCGCCAGCTGACCCTATTCCATACCATTGAGCAATCTTGCTGTAAGATGCGAGCGACTAAACGTAAGTCATCGGCGGAGAAAGTATCGTCGGGTTTGACTTCGAGTTCGAGGGGACGAGCGACGACGGGGCGGGTGTTGTTGTTGTTGTTGCTGTTGCCGTTGTTGGCATTGGGCTGAGGGGGCGCTCGCGGAGGCACTTTGTTTGAAGGGGCTTTCTGTGCTGAAGCTTTCGCATCTCCGGCACCGCCGCCGGTTTTGGTTTTCTGGTTGTTCTTCCTCCCTGTATTCCAGTTGTTTCCACCGATGTTATCCCAGCTCGCGGCAGCATCATTCGCGCCGTCTCCACCACCCGTAGTGGCGCCAGTGCCCCATCCAACTTGGGTTTCCCAGGCATTCGTACCAGTACCTGCAGTATCTCCCCCAGCGAAGTCCCAGGTTGTAGTATCACCCCATGCATCGGGTGCTTTGTCCGCAGAGTTGTTCTTGTCACCAGACTCGTCTTTGCCGTTACCCGTATCTTCTCCAAACGTGGCACCAAATATCCCGCCATCATCCCCTGTTTCCTCTTCCTTCTTCTCCTCTTTTTTCTTATCATCCTTCTTGTTGTTCCCATTATTGTGATCTGCATTCTTCTCCTTCTTCCCCTTCTTGCCTCCACCCCCCTGCTTGGCCCCACTTGGTTGCCAATCGCCCGGCTTGATCTCCTTGAAGCGATGTTTGCATTCATGCTCAGCTTTACCAAATTCTTCGCTTATCTTAGCCCAGGTATTCTTTGAATCGTCCTTCATCTGCATCAGCTTCTCGTCTTGTTCTTTTGTCCATCCATTTGACTCTCCATCCTTTTTGTCATTATCTTCTGGGACTGTGTTGTTGTCCGGGACAGTCGTAGCCTCCCAAGGTGCTGCGGGTTCATCTTTCTTCTCTTTGTTGTCGTCGCCACCTGTAGCGTCTGGAGTAGTGCCCCAAGTGGCTGCAAATGGATCGCTTGTGTCATTGCCCGATTCCTGTACGACCCATTCATCACCTTTGTTACTTGAGGCCTTCTTCGAGCTCGACTTCTTCGATCCGCTCTTTGCATTGGCGTCACCCCACCCATTGTTACCCCACAAGTTATCTCCATCAGTGGCGGGCTTGGCCGAAGCTGCTTTCTTTGGAGTACTCTTCGCGCCTACTAGCTCCTTTGCCGGCCGTTGTTCAGAAGGTACCTTCGCAAGGCTGGCTGCAGTAAGTCGTGGTTTGCCGGTGCCTGTGAGCCTGCCTTTTCGTCCGTCGCTCGCGGTCCACTCTACGATGCGACCAGGAGTAGACATCTGATGGTAATTAGCCTACAAGCTTCGTCATGGTATTCAATGGGGGCAGTCACTATGTTAGTGGGTTGACCGAACTTTCTAGGTTGCGGCGGAGGCGGGGGTGCGGGTGGCTTTACTTCCTTGTACGGCTTGTCACTAAAGCCTAGGATATATGCCATGGATACCCTACGCGGAGCGCCATTCGCGTCCGTCATCCTGGTAGCTTGGAGGTGCAGGCGCTGAGTTCAAAGTGCTGGTGTTGACGCCGCGCGTGAGAACGGACGCGGTCCGTAAGCGACGGCGATGAAAACTCCGCACGGAGATGAGCGGCAATTGGGTGAACAAAGCAAGCTGAGACTGAGCACGCAGGGAATACGCGTTGGTGTTGCGGGGACGGGTGTGGGAGCGGACTGACGGTTGTCTTGGCGACAAACAGATCGGTTCAGAACCTCTAGAATTCGACGGCAGAAGAGAAGAGTACATGATGGAACAGTAACCAAATTAGAATAAAGGACATTATCCCACGAAATACGCATCCAGAAGAAAGTGTGTGGACAACGAAGAGGATATTTCATGAAAGACATATGGGTGTTACCTTTCGCCCCAACTGGCTGACGTAGGTAGCCAGGCTACCAGCCGAGTAACCCAATCACGAAAATTCATCTCCGTGGTCCTCAGCTGTACCTCAATGTTCTGTATTAGTGCATAGTGGTAATCGTGCGAGACCCTCAAGGATTGCGGATGTCAGCGCGTGCAGACTGCACAGCCCGTTGCAACCCTGTCATGTCATCTACTGATCCCTAACAGATTAGAACAGACGGTGCGTCGCACCCAGAATTCACTAGGAAGGCTGTGAACGAACAACAATGTTGCGGGCGTAGGACAGAGCACGACGCCATTCGAAGGAAGTTGAGACGGAGCCATGGCTGACTAATCTGCACGCTAACGTTCTGGGCCCTTGCATTGCGGGCAAGCTGGCATCTCCGTGTACGTAGCTTGGCGCTCGACGAAACATCGAATTCGACACGACAGAGCAGCATCACTATATACCCGCCATGCTGTTCCCATCTCTCGCCATTCTCGCTGCGGCGAGCAGCTTGCTGTCATTCGCGACGGCGCACAACATCCAAATGAAGGCCCACCAGCGCGAGTGCTTCCACGAATCCCTCCACAAGGACGACAAGATGACAGTCACGTTCCAAGTCGGCGACCGGGAGTTTGGAGGCAGCGGAAATTTGGAGATTGATTTCTGGGTGCGTCAATGAGACTCTAACTCCGCCTCCAAACCACATAGCTGACTATCTATACACAGATCGAGACGCCCTCTCGAAGCTACCAAGTCCACGAACGCGGCGTATCCTCCGGCGACCACTCCTTCGACGCCAAAGAAGACGGCAAATACACATACTGCTTCAACAACGAGCACTGGGGCGCGAACACGAAGGAGGTCTCGTTCAACGTACACGGCATTGTCTACGTCCCCGAATCGGAAGCCCCCCAAGACCCATTGGAGAAGGAGGGTAAGGAACCACACTGAGCAGCTGGAGAGGATAGTACTGACGGAACCAGTGCGAACAATGTCGGAACTCGTCTCCCAGGTCAAGGACGAGCAGAGCTACATCATCGTGCGCGAGCGAGTGCACAGGAATACTGCCGAGAGCACCAACGCGCGCATCAAGTGGTGGAGCATCTTCCAGTTGATGGTACTCATTGGCCAGGGTTTCTTCCAGGTGTGGTGGCTGAAACGGTTCTTCGAGGTAACCAGCACCCATGCATACCATTACCACTCCAGCAGTACTCAACTAATCCCGTCTACAGGTCAAGCGTGTGGTTTAGCTTTCTCTCTTCCCGCTCTCACGAGCTGCGTGCGGCGCAATATCTCCAGTTTTTGCCGCTAGTCTACGCACTTTGTCTCGATTCTTCTGGCGTTGGAAGCGTGTGTTTAGGAGAATGAGCACCGGAAAAGGCGGGAGTATGGCGGATTACTTTATATGACTCATCAGCGAGATCTGGGTAAGATTACATTTTCATATGCAGAGTTCATCCAGTTCGCTCTATGTTCCACGGGTCTGCTTCTGCCTACGAAGCTTGGCACGTATTGACCCGACTAAAATCTGGTTTGGGTCAGCTGATTCGAAGACAGCCTGGCACCTTGAGAAGAAGATCATTTTAGTGGTTGATGAAGACAGGTTTCGTGAATCTTAGTGTGGTTAGCCCACCTCAACGTATTACTGAATCATTCACCAATCTTGCTTCCATCTGCGGCATTTCTATATAAAGGTGTCCCTATCACTCCATGTTTAGACTTCTGTCTCTACCTCAATGTTCTCAGCTCATCTCTCAACCCTTCGTTTGTCATTAATCTCCTGATCCATCTCATTACGTCGACAACAGGTCAGGCAGCGACGTTGCAGCCTCAACGTGGTCAATCCGTCACTTTGTGCGCGTCTCTATCCGCAGTTGTCGGGTGAAGGCGGGAGACACGTCGCGAATTTGCACTGTCGGTGTACTCCCTTCTGTTGTCGGGGTAGCGTGCCTTCTATCACTGGTCGCTGCTGCCTCCCATACGACCGTCACCACGAGCAACGGCAGTATAAATAGTCAACAACCCCCGCCCGCCTCCTCCAACACCAAATATGAGCCTCTCGATTCAACCTGCTGCAAGCACACCAGATGAACCCTTCTCAACATGGCGCGCCTTCCGGCTGGCCTCAGGCTATGAGCTTGGATGACGTGCGTGACGCTGCATCCACGCGCAAAGACTCGATGGCTACCTTTGGCGCTCCCTCTCCACAAACAACTGCGGCAAGTACTTTCATCCCAACTCCTCTTTCCCCTGAGCCCGAAATTCTCCACCAGCCGCAACATCGGTACAACGTGCCTGTACCACATTGGGCGAACAGGCAACGACCACCTACTCCGCCCCTTCATCACCTCGACGATGTCCAGTATACATCGCCGTACGGCACATTTGCACCAGCATATATTCATCCCTCAGTATCGAACATCCAGGGCTATCCGTCAACTGTTGTTCCACCCCCTCGATTTCATCCATCTGCCAACATTCTGCAACCCTCGCCTCAGCAGCAAATATTCGACTCTCAGCCTGCTCAGAAAGCGCCCTCTATCCAGTATTGGCCAACCGACAACCGTATTACAGTAGACGCACAGAGCAAGAAGAAGCAGGACGAGTACAAAAGAAAAGGCGAGGGTAAAGTAGCCGCCACGAATAGCTCTTAAGTTATCTTGCTAACTTATCACTAGTATGTAGCTCCCTTGCTATGCTTTGCCAATGCAGTTCTGAGGCATCTTACTATTTGTAGCTCCCTTGCTATGCTTTGCCAACACCCTATTTAAGGGAAAACCCGAACACCCTAGAGCCTACATCAAGATAAAAGCTTGCGAAGTTGGTGGCCTAACGGCGACGTAGGCTCCTGGGTGTTCAGCTTTTCCCTTGTATGAGGTGCCAACGCGGTGCTGAGACATCTTACTATCCGTGCTAACAGCTTGACAGGCAGCGAGGAGAAAGACAATTTCCGCCCAAGCCTCCGCGCTTCAGTACGAACCGATCAAAGAGCCTGCATCAATGCCTCGCAAACGCAAGGCTTCAATTATTGACGACTTGATGTCTACACCTGCACCTCCTCCTCGCTCGAAACCTCGTCTTCCGAGTTCACCCAAATCAAAGCGTGGACAGAAACAGAGTTTCACAGGCAGCCCGGTAGTGAACCACCACTCGACTCCTCATCTATCACAACCGGGCCCCACGCACTACATCGACCCGTGGCAGTATCACCCACCACCGTATATCTCTCCCTACCCACAGTACCAACAACCATTCCATGCGCAACCCCAACCTTTGGTTTATATGCCTCAACATCGACCGCATACGCCCGCAGCACCTCCACCACCGCCTCCCAAGATCGTCGACCCTGAGACTATATCTCAGCAGATTACGAGCACCTACGACGAGTACAGGTGGCCGGTCGCTCTATATGAGCTTGAAGCTGGACCCGGCTTCGATTTTGCTGAGTCCTGGTTACAAGACCAATTGGGCAAAGGAGTTTACCACTCAGACAGCAACAGATGGGACGCGCATTCTACAGCAGGCTTCATCAAGAATGGAAACAGGATGTCGCTCCTAGTTTTACACAACGCTGCGAACCCTTTCCAGTATGACCCACCGGCCACATCGACTACCAGCATCGGCGTATATGGATTGTTTGCTCATGAGCACAACGAGATCCACTGGACGACTATTGCGCCAGGTGTTTCCAAGTGGTTCACCTTGTGCATGAACGCGGGTTTTCTCACGCTCAAACAGAAGTGGTCTCCCAACATGAAGGCTTCTGACAAGCGGTTCCATCGCGCGTATTGGTTGGCCGCAAATAAACTGCCGCTCAACCGCATACTGAACCATAACGCGGCACCCGAGACGCCGTACGGAGTATTCGAAGACAGCGAGAAGGATAAGTTTGTGATTGCGGAACAGGACCTGCAGCACGGGTGGGACGGAGAGAGTGTATCTGTGGAGGAATCGAAAAAGATCTGGGAGAGAATTGTCGACGAGATGGAGGGAATGGATCTGGCGGACGTCGAGCATGTATCTATAGGAGGATCAGAGAGGGCGTTTATGGCGGACTGATTGATCAAGTGAAGGTTTACTCGCTACCCAGCTATGCGATGCCATGAGCTCACCTACGATGGAAAGGGAGGTTTTCGGGAAAGGAAGTGGCTGCCTATGAGCCCGCATGTAGTATAGTCTCAGTGAAAGAAGTGAATGACAATCCAAACCATCAGAATACTTTGGACATTCATCTGCTATCCACAAGCGCTCATGAGGAAATCGGTCTACTTCCCAACTCTATCAGGCCGAAGCCATGGTTCTTAAAAAGAATAGTCCACCTTCCCACCGCGTTATCAACACAAGGGCCTCTCAAACATCCAAATCTAGCACTAGTCATCAATCTCCTCGTCTTGGACGCTCGTCGTCTCGACGCTCTCCGCAAGACTCAGGCCTGTTCCGCCCGCCCTCAAAGAAGGCTTCTTCCCTTTGCCCTTTGTTCTCTTCTTGCTTTTCGCACCGCTGGTCTCGCCCACTGGCGGCGCATCCCTGACCCAGCGCGATATGGCTTCCGCTCGTTCCGTACTGATCGGATACTCGCGACCGTCGTCTTGCGCCCAGCGCTTGGGTGGGGTGGGTTGTGGCTCTGCGTCGCTAGGAGGAGACTGCTGCCTCTTCTTCTCAGCCTCCTCGTCTTCTCTGTTCCGGCGTTCGCGCGCGCGAACTGCACGTTGGAAACTCTCTTCGTCAACGACGCGTTCGTCGGCTAGGGCTTCGAGGATAGCTTCGTGTTTCTGGCGTTCGCGACGTTGGGCTTCTGTTTCGCCGCCACCGGAGCCGTTCATGCCGTTCTTTCCTGCTACGTCGGTGGAGCCATTCTTGCCGCCTCCGTGGCCAGGTAGGGGAGCAGGTCGACAGAGGTTCTCCCAGGATGTTGACAGGCCAATCCAGTTCCCGGCTCTGCGGAGGACTTCGATCCAGTCTGCGCGTGCGGGGGATCGTGCGGCGAGGAAGATGGGGTAGCCGTCGCATACGCGGGCGAGGCGGGCGGCATTGTGGGCGTGGCGGAGGTGTTCTTTGGGTGGTGTTTGTATAAGCGCATGGCAGAGGAGTAGACTATGCAGGGCATCTGTAATGAGGGGGTGGTATGTTATACTCTCGTGGCTGTCTGCGAAGGCGGTGGCTGCTGCTGAGGCTGCGGACTCGGACGAGTTGCGAGGCGGTGGATACGGGGGTAGAGAGGCGGGAGGGGCAGCATCGAAGAGCTGGGAGACCTTGAAGATCTCCGGTGGAGGAAGTTTGGGCCACGATGCGCGGTCAGAGGAGGATTTGGTCGGGCCGCGGTGAGGAACGAGGGCTTCGGAGATGGGTGATGAGGCGCCGTTTGTCTGCTCGATGAGGCGGTTCATGTTCGGCTTGATCTTATCGTTCGAATAGCCGTTGGGGCTGCCGTTCGCCGAGTGGCCCAGTCTGCGTAAGAACTCTTCGGCGAGCTCAGCGGAGATACCGGGCGTGTAGTCGAAGTGTGAGAGGAAGGCAACATAGTCTCGGAGTGCGCGTTTGGCGTTCTGGCGGACCTGCTTGCGGGCTTCGAGGCGAAGGTGATTGCTGTGCGCTTCTTCTGGTGTTATCGGATCTGGTTCCTTACCTTCAGCGATTTGGGCGTCGCGCCGTGCCTTTGCCTCTTCGGCTGCCTGTAGGCCGTCAAGGGCAGCATTGACGTGGCCGCATGCTATAGTGAAGTATACGCCCGCGCGATGGAACAGCAGCTGTGTCTCGAGCGAATTGGGGTGGTCTTCGTCGGGGATCTTGACTTCCTGCCGCCAATCCCTCCCGTACTGCTCCTGGAGCGTCTTTGCCAGCACCAGCTGATCGTTGCCTGCGCGGTGCTGTGCCATCATGTACCGCGCCGTGCTCAAGGCCTCACTCAGGTCCTTGGCCGAGTTCACATAGTCCTCCTTGAAGATTCTTGTCAATGCGCGCGTTCGAAGGGGGCTCCCGTCGTTGGGTCGCTCGCTGATGATTTCATTCAAAGTATGCAAAGGTGTACACTGCGCCATCATGCGGCTGGGAATCTTCTCGTGGAAGAAGTGGACGTACTTGGCGTCGACGTTGTTGGGCTCGCGCTGCAGCACCAGATGCGCGACGTCTTCCAGCGTGCTTGCGCTCTGCATGGTAGCTACACTGGCCGCGATCTCGTCCAAATGATATGCCTGACTCAGCTTGCTCGTCGCTAGCTCGCGCATGCGGTGCTTCCGCTCCCTACTCAGCTTCGAGGTCCCCCCTCCCCCATAGCCTATCCCCAGCGCGGCGGCATTGCCCAGCATGCTATTGTTCCCATTGAGGCTGTTGCTGAGGGCGGCCGACGTCAAGCCCGACGTGGCGCGCACAGCCAGGTTGGTCGCCTCGTCGACGGCCTTGCGGATCTTGACGAGGTCGTAGAAGACGGCGGGGTCAATCGGGTGGGGGCGCGGGGAGAGGTAGTTGCTGTGGGCGAGGGACTCGAGGACCTCCGGGGGCAGCTGGAGCCAGGGGCCGTGGAACGAAGAGATGTAGCGCCAATGCCTATAGTCCCGCTATTAGGGTATTGTCTCTGTGCATCACGACGGCAGTACCCGCCCAAACTCACTTGTTGCGGCAGATGATGAGGGCAGACGTCGAGGGCTCGCCGGCCGGCTTCTTCGCGGTTGCTGCGCCGTTGGCAGTGGGCGGCGGCGTCGACGAGGCGCTGCCGTTGGGCGCCGCATCAGCCTGCGCGCTCTTCTTCTTGCGCGCCATGTTCCAATGTCTTCGATATACAACTCTCGCCGGGGACGTCTGCTCTGCACTGGCTGGAATGATGCCGTATCGATAATAAATTTCGTCTTGGCGTTAGCGCGGAGACGGAGCTTGCGTCTTTGTCTCCGACGCGGCACCCTTCACCTCCCTCGTCGCGTCGTGCCAGCCATCCTCCCTCACAACGCGCTTTCTTTTCACCTCGATCGCGTCTTCTCTCACTCAGTGATGCACCGTCGAGCCTCGCGCTATCACACTTGTCCATGCCGTCAGGCGGCTGGCATGGGTCGCCCTTCCTTCGCGTGATGCTTGACAGGGGCATGCAACGGCCTCCTGCAGCGCCCTGTTCTAGCTTTACCCCACCGGTTCTTTGCAGGACCTTCCACGACGACTTCCTCATGATGTCATTCTCTTCCTAGTCAAAGCCCTCGGCGTCTTTCCTTGAGCTGGACAAACGGAATTCAATCAGTGTTGCGGCATGTTCAGCCATTGATCGCAACCCCTTCGCTACACATGCCTTCCTCACCAGCCAATTGCCACCGTTCGCATTCAGTATGATGGTGCCGGCATACGGTCCAGGCTGCCATGTCGCCCGCTGGACTTCTCACGGCTTTCCGATATTTCACCGTCATTGGAGGGACTAAACCGCTGGAAGGCGCCTTGTCCGGGTTTTATGCGATACTCGCTGACTGAGAGTCGTCGTTTGGCATGGTGGCTGTTTCGTCCCATACCACCAACACACTGGCACCATATCTTGTGCCCTACTACATCTCCCAGTCGAGCCAGAATGGAGCCTCATCAAGTCTTCACTAAAACCACATGAGAAGCATGGTCAGTCAAGAGTCAGCAATGGCTCGACTACAAAAGGTCTCTTGGTTACAACTCCAGCGCTCCGGTTCCGCCTCATGTAATAGCCAAGCCAACGTATGCGGGGAACGCTGTGAAGACACAGAGCACATCATCCACGTTTCACGCTTTCAAGTCATGACGAATTGTGCACGCATATTCGGCAGCAAACGCGCATTATGCAACATTATCGTGGCAATCGCAGCACACACTATCTTTACACTCATCGCGAGAGTGCCTCGAGCTCCACCTTCCCAAACGGCTTAGCGAAACACGTCTCGCACGAACTTGAAGCCTGTCCCTATCGGGTCAAAGGGCGCCGGTCACACTGCATGCATCTATCGTTTCCGGGAACTGATCCCGCTCGGGGATGCATGTGCAGATATACGCGTACCCGTAGCAGGCTCCTAGAGTATTGTTGATATGCAAGAGCTATCTGCTGCACTGAAATTACATCTGTAGCGCATTGGTGTGATCCGGCTATCGGAGTGTCAGTCGCATGAGGTGTCTACAAATCGGAAACCGGAATTTCCGTTTTGATGCGGATGCTCGATGTGACCACAACAGATTGTATTCCTGACGAACGCATTGCCGACGCCCATTGTCAAATCGTGGCACGTCCGACTAATGCTCCATGTTTTCATGTCGCGAGGATGACAAACCACGCGCGCCACTGAGGCGCATTGGCGCTGCGCACCAAAGGAACGCCTAGGCAAACGCAGCGCATTCCAGTATGTCCAGATTGTGCCGCTCTTGGTTGAGGGGCAACATTTGTTAGTCGTCATGCCTAAACCCAGACAACTCATGTCATACCATCTGTGGGATGCACGAACTTTCCCATACTGTTGGCCACCATAACAACTACCGAATTATGCAGACTGGGCCTGGTGTGATCGTCGTCGTCGTAAACGAACGTTTCGTCGTGCCTTCGATCGTCGGCTGCACTGACACGGCACACGCTCCGTCCGGGAGATACTCGACAAGGATGCTTGGCCCTCTATTCGTGGAGCTTGACTCAAAGCTTAATTCAAGGCGCTAGTGTGCGGCTTCAACGAGCCTTGCGCGGGGTGGCTGACGGAAGCTAGTTCGGTGCTGATGAGGTGTATTGCGGGGTAATTTTGTCCAAAGATCTCTCCCTCAACAAAGAGTCCTCCACCAAGCAGTTTGAGTCGGCCGTTGCCAATCCACTAAGTCAGATGCACATGATCCGGCTATCTCTAAAAAGCTTGAGTAAGGCCCGAGGGCGATGCTAGTTGCAACTCAAACCTGGGTTGCCTCTGCTTAGGCATATCGGCAGTGTGACAAGCGCTTGTCTAATACCTTACCGGCCCCTGCTGGTGTTGACAGCGTGACTACGTCTTTGCGCCTCAGTGGTGTGTTACGAAACGAACGCCGAATCACAACTACGTCGAAATCTCCACTCCTCCTTGCCCACACCTCGGTCTCCAAGACGGAAGGTCGAGACTTGAGCAGGGTATCAGACATGACAGCTGCAGTTCACTTCCTCATTGGACATCGCGGGGCCGGCATGCTGATATATTTTTGCCATGATTGGCAGTTCCTCGACGCGACTTCGCCTAGACGTTCCCAGCATGTTTCCATGCGGGTAAGCACCTGAGAGTGGGTGTGCTGACTGCCCATCCAGTAGGCTCAACTACAGCGCTATGGCTTCGAGACCCAGTTTCATCGACAGGACGCTACCTTGTGGTCGATAACGCCAATTCCCAGGATGTGCAGAGTATATTTGGAGTAACCCTCAATAAGCCCCTTACATTTCTCAACGCTGCACTGTCCTAGCTCTAAAACGTTTTTTGTCGCTTTGTTTTCGCCTACTTTCTGCGAAACCACTATGGAGTATCTCAGGAAGAAGGCTCAAGGAAGCCGAGAGGCGATAGCCACTGATACTACCCTCCAGCGGACGATACGGTATGGCACGAAGGCCGTCCGTGCCGCACCTTCAGTGGCAGGCCAATATCTACTCCAGAAGGCGCCCATCATTCAATGGCTACCGAAGTACAATCCGCGATGGCTGCTAAACGACACATTGGCCGGTATCACTGTTGGCGTTCTGCTTATCCCTCAATCCCTGGCATACGCGAAGATTGCGACAATCCCCGGACAGTATGGACTCATGTCGAGTTGGCTGCCTAACTTCCTGTACCTGATAATGGGCACATCCAAGGGTAAGTCGTTGCTACTCATTGCAGCCCTTTTTACTAAGACTCGCACAGACCTATCTACTGGTCCCACGTCGCTCATGGGTCTCTTGACGGCGGAGATAATCGCAGATGTTGCCCAAGACGGATACTCACCACAAGCCATCGCTTCCGCCGTTGCCATGTCCGTCGGCATTTACTCCATGACGCTAGGCCTACTCAAGCTAGGATTCCTGCTAGAGTTTATTTCCGTGCCTGTTCTGAGCGGCTTCATCTCCGCAGCTGCCATCGTCATCATGCTCGGCCAGATCCCCTCGCTATTCGGCATTACTGTCGGCTCCGGCACGGCGAACATCATTCACGACCTCTTCGCTAAGATACCACAATACGACGGTCCGACATGCGGAGTGGGTCTTGGGGGACTTCTACTGCTCTATCTCATGCAGAAGATGGGACAGCGCTGGGGCAAGAAGAATAAGGCCATATGGCTGCTAGCACTTGGTCGCAGTGCTGTGGTCCTCATTCTCTTCGCTGGTATCTCGTACGCAGTGAACAAGGACATCGACCTTGAGAATGACGATCCTGTCTGGGCACTCAGTAAGGTAAAGTCTGATGGCATTGCAACGCCTCGCATGCCAGACTCGGCACTTATCGGCAAGGTGTTCGCACGAAGCATTGCACCCTTCATTGCAGCTGCCCTTGAACACCTAGCTATCGCCAAAGCCTTTGGTCGCAAGAATGGCTACGTTACCGACGCTGCACAGGAGCTAGTCTATCTCGGCTTCACCAACTTCTTCAATTCCTTCTTCTCCTCCATGGCGGTCGGCGGTGCTATGTCGCGGACTGCTGTCAACTCAGAGTCTGGCGTCAAGTCTCCAGCCTATGGTTTGATTGCCGGTGGTGTTGTCATCCTCAGTATCTTCAAGCTTTCGCCAGCACTATACTGGATACCGAAAGCCACATTGGCAGCTATCATTGTCACGGCAGTATGGCACATTGTAGTTCCCCTCAAAGTCTTCTACGGATATTGGCGTACCTCACTCGTCGACTTTACCACCTCCATGCTAGCTTTCTGGCTCACCCTCTTCGTCTCTTCAGAAGTTGGGATTGGCACGGCCGTCGGGTTCAACATCGTCTACCACCTCCTCTTCATGGCCTTCCACCGCGTTCACCGCATAACGTCCATCGAAGTAGCTTCTCACGGCCGTCAACCCGGTACGCATGCCACTCCTCTCGATACCCAAGTATTCCGTATCCACCAGTCTATGCTCTTCTACAACGCCTACCACATCAAGACGCAGTGCCTTGACGCAGTCCAGACGTTCAACTCCGGCGACGTGGCGACGTTGGAAGCTGCGCACGCAAACCGCAACTGGAGTGTCGCTGGCAAAGACCGCGCTTTGCGTCTCCGGACAAAAGCCGAGATCCTCGAAGAGCCTGTCCAGATCCGCAGTGTTGTGCTGGACATGTATGCGATGCATAATATCGACACAACAGGCCTCACACATTTGAGAGATTTGAAAGCAGATATCGAAGCGTATGGTGGGAAGAACACGCAGTTCAGACTCGTAGGGCTAAATGACCGTGTTCGCGAGCGCTTTGCGAGGTTCGGATGGCAACTCCGCAATGTGGCAGACGTTAACAAGAAAGGCACCATGGTATATGATACAGTTGAGGAGGCTGTCTTCCGTCGCTCAGGGACGTTTTCGTCGGATGAGATTGAAGTGGAGCCTACTGAGGTGTTTGTCGTTGGTGATGAGAAGAGTAAGGTGTAGATCACGGGTTCAAAGGCGCATCATGGGTGTGCCACGCCTGTTGCTTCTTCCACTTCCGCGATCAGAAGTATTGTCACGATGTTATGATGAAACGCTCGTTATTCTTCAACTATACATAGTTTCACCTATTATACACGAGTCAGGATTCTTCTATTCTGCATGTATCCACGATTCACTCTATTTCTTGTGCTTCGCACAGCGACCAGGCGCAATCTTGAATCTCTTTCGCCTCGAGCCCGAACTCTTTTCAACGTCTTCTACCTTCGTCTCACTCCACACTCCGCGCCTCCTCATTCGTCTCCGCAAAACTCCCGAACATACCTCGGCAACACTCCCGGTTGCGCGCCATCTGCTCTTCCTCAGACAGCGCAGGATCGATAACAGTACGGATATTAGACTTCAAGGCGACTGGAATATCACCGCGCCGACCGTACAGATAAGTCTCGACCTCAATCTCCCGGTCAAGTTCCTGGAAGTTGTAAAACGTCCACCGTAGCGAGCTTTCCGGAAGAGGATTTGCCGGCCTACCACGTACTGGTAGCGTTACAGCAGTCATGGACCTTCTCTCACCAGAGCTGGCCGGCCACGGATGCGGAGATGACCTTGTGCCGTTGGGAAGTATCTCTGGCTTAGCCCGCGGATTGGGAGACCGTCCGTAGTATGGCCTTGCTTTACTCGTTTTTACCAATTCACGGAACCGTTCTTGAGCCCCGGGAGGCGAGTTACGCCAATTTTCACTTGATCCGATAGTCCGTAGGACTGGTGTCTTTGTATCGAGAGAGCTTTGTTGAGGTGTTGTGGCGGTCGAGGGGCTATCGTTCGGTGGTGAAGATGTGCTGTCGGAAGGCTTTTGAGTTGCAGTAGCGGGACTGGTCGTCGCGTTGTTGCTGCTCGGCGTGTCTGATTGTACAACGGAATCTACTTGGTTCTGTTCCATAGGCAGGGAAGAAGCCGACGCAGGCGGACTGTCGGGTTCTTCTTGTGGACAAGTCAGGGTGATCTCTGGAAACTGGCGCACTTTGCGAGGGAGCGTGACACTTTCTTGATCTGCAACAGGCTTCAACAGATCTAACAACTTCTTTTGGAAGGCGTTGAGTTTATCCTTGTTCTTGGGGATTGTGGGCCGCTGAGGTGCTTTAAGGAGTGCGTGTGAGTTCGCCGCGGAAGTCATCGGAGTGAGGGCGTGTGGCTGATTGCTCAATATTCGAAGCTGCGATTTTGCTTCGTCTTTGGTGCTAGGGACTGGGAAGATTTTCGGGAACGCACCGTCAGCTGGTAGTTTTTTCTTGGTAGGAGAGGTGACGTTGAGTGGCTTAGGTACAAGCTGAGGTAGCAATTGCGTCTGCGCTTTGTACGAAAGCTGTTTCCAGAATGTCTTCGAATCAAAGAGAGGCAGTATGTCCGTTTGCACTTCCTCAGGCTTGTAGTCCGTGCGCATTTTCGCTGAGCGAGGGAGCTTGATTACGGAGAAGCTGGACCTTCTGAACCGATCAAAGGGAATGCTTTCGTCCACGGCAGCTTTCTCCACCCTCGTCACTTCGATTCCTGACTCACTATGAGACTCGCGCGCAGGAACTATTGTCTGCGAAGTCCGCAACGGCGAGTCTTTTGTCCGATATATTCCACCCTCGCGCGCTAACCCCGACTTCTTCTTAGCCTTCACGCTGTCCCGGTGTTTGCGCAGACCCCAATCTTTTCTTTCCCCTATATTCTTCCAGAAGAGTCTCTGCGCTACTTCGGTACGACCGGCCCGACGAGAAATGAAGGCTGTCCAGTCGTCTTGTGCCTCTGGACAGGTATGGCAGTCGTTCTGGCAAGCGTGTAGATGCCAGATTATGGTATGAATTTGCCAGCCGCTACTTTCGCATGAGAGGACCTCATCGCATGGATCGGATTTTTCTCTAAAGGAGACCTCGCAGACAGGGCAGCAAGTTGGGGTGAGGGTTTTGAGACAGATCAAGCGGTGGTCGAAGGCGTCGAGATCTTTCATACCCCACAGATCTTTGTGGCAAAGGAGACAGGATGTTCTCTCCAGGTCTGACGAGAACTGTGGTGTCAGTGTAGAAGATGCCTCCTCTCTTTCCCCCAGTGCGCTGTTTGTGACTTGCAGCGTCTCCGATAAGACATTGTCACCCTCTCCAATCTCATTTTCCTCCAAGGTATTCTTCGCAATTTGACACTTCGCTTCTTTTGCCTTCTCTTTTAAACCATCCCAACACTTGTTGAAATGGATGTTGGCTCTGGGTTTGGGCTTTAGCTCTACTCGTTGATAGCAGATGCCACAGTTAGATTTATCGGCCTTTATGGCCTTCTTTGGCACAGGTGGTGGTTGACGCCTGGGTGGAGGTGGTGGATCTTTGACTTGGGCGGCTGGAATTACAGGGGATGGAGGCGCAGTGGGGGCTTCTAGGTTGGGCATCGTATAAGTGTTCATCTGGTCAGCTTTGACCTGAACAGTTCCAGGGTGATATAATGTGAGAATGGGCGCTTGAAAGTCCGTGGAATTGAAGTTGTGTTCCTGTGGCTGTGAAATAGGTCGAGCGGGTGTGGTTTGACCGTCGATGAAGAGGCCGTGGGTACGAGAAGCTTAGCCTAGTAGGTTTAGGTTACACTGAGTGTTTGTGCGTTCGGAAGCCAATGCTTTTCCACACATTCACCAAGCCGATTCAGATTTCACGTTACAGACTGCGAAGCCACGAAGACTATTGCTTCACCCATCCTGATTAAGAGAGAATTGGCGCATTCCATGAGGTACACTAAGTAGATTGATTGGTGTCTCTCCATGCCTGTTGTGAGCTTTAGCCTCTTGACAACTCGTCATATACCTATGAGGAAAACGAATATGGATCTTGCCGATACATCTTGGTGGCTCTATCCTGTTCAAGTGAATGAATACAAATCAGCCTCGTGCCGACAACGACATGGAGCTGAAGGATCTAGAGGTCTACACTACGCTTAAATATTGGGATCTCACATTTTTTTGTACTATTGTAGACTGCAGTGCATCTTTTCAATTTCTTCATTGTAGTGTGTGGCAGCAACGTCTTGTGCAGCCGATCAATCGTGAGCCAGGAAAGCCTACTACCTTCTTCTGGCGAGGCTACGATATTGAACTCATCGTTACCGCAAAAGCCATTTACCAGGGTTATTACGAGTCAGACGTGTAGCAGGTCTTCGAGATCACCAAATGAGATGTGCCGATACAGTGTTGAGAACATCGGAGAGTATCGCACGATCGTCACCAGCATCATTCCAAGCTGAGTGAAAACCCATTGTTCGTGCATACCGCGTTCTATCAAACCCCCGTGGGCCTATACAAGCTATATCATGATTACATAGAAGCTCTCTTAACCATCACGCATCTGCACAACCGGTCAACATTGTCTACCATTGTCCATCGAAACATGTCAGCCCACGACTACATTTTCATTGTGAAAGATATCGAAAAAGGCTGCGCTACCTTCGGCCAGTGGGACCAACTCAGCACAAACATGGTCTTTGCGCTTCCATGGCGACTTCTGCAGCAATGTCCAGACGGACTGATACTAGACGAGCCCAGAACAGTAGGTGAGTTGGCCGAAAAGAAAGATGCCTTGTTGGACTGGGACGATGACCACCGCGGCGTCCGGTGGGACGAAAATTTAGGCTGGACGTTCAAGTCTCTAGAGAAGCCAAACGCACCTAGCACCGAAGAAGACACATCCGAAGACTCTACTCCGCGACCGAGCCTCGCAGATTCTGTCGAAGAGGAAGTCCTGGCATACATAGCGACACTACACACTTGCCGGAAGCCTTACCCGCATGTATGCCCAACAGTGCTCAGGAAGGTTCCAAGGCGCCTGAGCTGCCAACGGAACACTCGTGATCGCATCGACGCTTTTCGGAGTCTTCAAAAATTTACCGGATCACGATTTGGAAATGGCACTTCAATGCTAAGAAACGAGCTTCTGGTAAGCCAAAGCGAAGACCATGCGACCACGCATAGTGATGTTTTTAAACTGGACTCGTTCAGGTTAGCGCATCTTTGGTACGAGCGTTTTGACTCAAGGGCTGGGGAGTACGATATGACGGGCATCAAACTGCTCGAAGAAGAGCCTGGTCAGATAATAATCCGTGGTCCTAGAAGCTTAGCACAAGAAGAGTACTAATGCCAGTATGGAAGCATTGCAGCCATTAGACGTGTAGATAAGAATTGTACTTTTGCTCCTCGCATCGTGCTGCATACATACTATCAGATCTTAACAAGTATACAATTCTAAAGATGATGTATACTCTCAACTAGAAGATGATTTACTGGAACACTTTTGTAGGATGGAATACGAGTTGCAGCCGCCCTTGGTAAGGTCTTCTTGGCTCGCACTAGATCGACATGTCGCGGGTTTACTGCCGCGCTGAGAGCTGCTCTTGCGCTCCGAGGCAAGCGCGCCGGCTTGTGAGTTCCCGGTGTCGAAGCTAGCGTGATTGACGGTCACGGTTGTGCGCCGCAACATTATGATATGAAAGTCCAGCTTTCTAGCCAACGAAGGTAACCTTTGCGCGCAACAACGCCGAAGTAGAAAGGAGCCGACATCAAAGTGCATCTTCATCTGCACGGAGGTATGGGAGCACCAAGCTCAGGAAAAGCAATAAACTGCATGATGCAGGATGGAAGCACAAGACGAAAGGTGGTGTTGCGGATAGGCAAAGCCGACGGCATCATAGCGTTGGGGGCGCAAGATACGTCATCAAACGCACGCCAATACACGACTGGGTTAGCGGATTTCGACGCGATCGGTGTGGGTACAGCGCGGCAACATTGATTCCGAGCATGTGTCTCCGTTTGTACGAATTGTATTGCATTATGCGTATGCATGGGGTATCAGTAAATTTTGGTCGATGGCGTGTATCAAAGCCGACTTTTAAGGGATCTTTTTGACCCACTTCCTTAGAACATTTGCCTGTTCTTCATCTCCACAGGCAAGAAGCACATCAACAGTGCAGATAGCCAAATACCACCAGCACCTAGCCAAAGGATGCCAGAGCTCTGATCGGCCAGGAGCTGAGCACCCGCAAAGGGTGCGACGATTCCTGCAATACGACCGAGACATGAAAGCATGCCACTCACACTACCACGGTAGACAGTGTCGAAAAGCTCCGGAGCAGACGCGTACAAGACCGCATTGAAATACTGAACACATGTCAGTATTGGAAACGTTGAGCTCAAAATTTAGACTTACGGTTTGCATAATGTACTCCAATGCGTTCAAACCCACATAAGCAGCGGTCGAAGACACCTGAGTATACATTGCCATGGAGATACCCTGGCAAAGAGCGGAAAAGACCAATGACCACTTTCGACCCACAAGAGGCAACTGAATGGATGCAAGTGCCAGGATGGCACCTATGATACCAGGGAAGTAGATGATCAAGTACTGTTCGTAGGTGTCGCTCACAGTTCCTCGGCCTTCGTCGACGTTGTTGCGTAGCAGGATAAGCGGAAGGAAGGTACCCGCCAGGTTAAAGGACCAGTAGTCTCCCTGTTTTTGTTAGTAGGGAATATAAAGATAGAAAGTCATGCTGCTTACCATGTATGCCAGCGCAAGCAAGACGAAGGTGAAGGCGGTCAGCTTATTGGTGAAAATGCCCTTGAGGCGCTTAAGCTCCTTGCCGAATCCTTTGATGACTTTCTTTGTGGTATCCTTGGTACTTCGAGGGGAGCTCCGTGTACTCGATGTGGCATTCTGCTTCTTGGTGAAAATGCCCTTGAGGCGCTGAAGCCCATTGCCTTTCTCGGGGGTAGCCTGGGTAGCCTGGGTAGTTCGAGGTACCTCAGTGGAGAGTCGTGCGCTTGACGTGGCGTTGGACGATACCTCATCTATGGCAGCAAACATCTCCATAGTCAATGTTGGAGCTGGTTGCTTGTTGAATTTCGCAATCCTGTGAAGAACGTCGAGAGCCTCCTGCTCTTTTCCTCGCGCAAGCAGGAACTTGGGGGACTCATGGAAAGTGAACACGAAGTACCGAAGGAAAAAGACGGCCAAAGTCATACAACCAAGCACTATGACAGTGTAACGCCATCCCATGTTACTGTCAACGGTACAGCAAGCGACTCCAGGCTCGACGTCTGGACAAGCCGGCGCGTCGGGATCGCAGCGCCATTTAGCTTGGCCGGTGGTGCCGTAGGCAATGCAAGAGGCAATGGCGACACCGATGGGCTGCCACATGGAAAGAAGCGCGACAAGGAAGCGGCGGTTATGAGGTAGAAACTCAAGCGCGATGGTCGCATCGATAGGAATGTTGCCTCCGAGCCCCAATGACGCGAGGAAGTAGATGGCGCATATCGCAGGGTAGTTGTACTTGGGCGCGGCCTGGCATATTGTTAATCACCGGTAATCGAATTTGTGGCTCCATGAACATACCAGCAAGAGTCCGAATACGGAGGTAATGAGACAAGTCAAGTTGAAAGCCCACTTGCGTCCGATGATGTCCACAGCAAGACCAAAGCCGAGCGCACCGACAGCAAGCCCAGCATTGGCAATTGCAAATATATCTCCAGTGTGTTCGTCCGAAACTCCCATCTGCAAATGCTTTAGTTCACGGTACCCGCTTTGTCTGGCCTAACTCACCTCCTGGTAGATGGCAGAAGCAATCAAACCAACACCTTGTGACCAGGCGAGATCAAGAAAGTATCCAAAGCCACAGAGGAACCAGATGCATATCTGGTATCTCCCCATTCCAAATTTATCAAGCTCGACATTGATGAGAGCGGCCTTCTTCTCAAACGTGTTGAGCGGGTTCGCGGCTGTGCCCTTGAGAATTGCAGCGAAAGACAAATCAGTTTGGTCGACGCGTTCTACGTCGTTGTAGATGGGGATTTCGACTTTAGCGCGCGCGTTTTCGGGGTGCTCGACGGGTATCTTCTCCTCATCGCTGAGGTGCGCAGGGCTGCGCTCCGACTGCTTGACATCCATCTTGACGGCGGCAGGGCAAGCTACTGTCAAGGGCAGGGTATTGTCAGGTGACTGCGCGTAGATTGGGTAAGAGTGAGTCGCCTCGTGGTAATGGCAGTTTACAGGGACGGTACCGTGGGACAAGGTATATTATACGTACGCGGGGAACGAGTAGCCCTTTCACGCTACCGTTGACTACTGGCGAAACGGATCTAAGCGATGAAGGCGCTACGATCTAAGTGCTGATCCAAGCCTCGTCCGTTCAACGGCCCTCATGTCCAAGACGGCAGAGGTTTAGCTGACCCGATCTCATTGGGTGCCACTGACTAATGACGGCATAGCCAGTAGCCTTGTCGCGCGACTTTGCCTGGCCCTGTTCTTGCATGGTTTTGTTCCTTCGGCATGGCCGTGTAGCGATAAATCTTGGACAGCGACTAACAAGATGCACTAACAGCTCAGCTGATTATAGTGTGATAGGTTCGCCGTTCCGTCGCACTGTGATCGTAGAACATAAGCGGCGGCAAATGGACGGAAACCAACAGAGATGCACTACGCAGTGCCTAGACCAGTGGCTCCGCTTGAGGCTGAGGGTTACGCAGGCTGAGCAGCTGCACCGTCATTTTCTGGCACGCTTGCTGCAAACTCCTACCCACCCTCCAATATTACCGCGGAGCTCCACTACCAATCTCAACCTCGCCATCCACAAAACGTGCGCTGGTACCGAGATATCTTTTTGCCATGGCCCGCCCTCTCCAGTTTTTCGAGATCTTAGGTTCGTTATCGGAGACCGCCCATACTAGATGTAGTTTAGCGTTGTGCCCGATAACGCCACACGAAACATTGCAGTGATCGCATGGCCCGCCTCGGTTACCTGCAAACATCCTCACGTCACGATTGATGACTTTTCTCTTCGTATCCACCACTACCTAGGTAGCTCAAGTGCGACTGACATGAAATGACTCCCCTAGAGGCTCGTAGGGAGGTCATGGTTAGCTCTCCGGCTAAGCGTTATCTCTTCACCGAGCGCGCCAGGACGCACTCGGCTCACATCTGCCGTTCAAACGCGCAGCAGAGAGGTCGTTGTCACTGTCACAGTTCATCATTGCCCAAGCAGCCTTCGGGATTGAAGAGCTGACCGAACGATGCCTATACGAGATCTGCGAATTCATAGCTTTTGTCGAAATCCGCGATCACCGCTACACGCTTCAAGGACAGGTTATCTGTGTTTGCATAGCGCTTCATATGTCGCTTCGTGGACATCGCAGTGCTCTTATGAGCGTTTCCCGATTCCATTCCCCAATCAAAGCTCGCTGCTCACGGTCTTTTCTTTGACATATGTACGCGTTGCGAACGTGTAGCTGACCTTCTAGACATTGAATATCCTCAAGCTTACCTGTCTATATAAGCACCCTTGCGCCACGAAATATCGAGCTCTTTAGAACACATCGCATACATACACTCAACACGCAAATAAGCAACATCTTATACAATTACCAGTATACACAACCAACATCCCTACCTACCTACCTACACCAACATAACGACTCATCGCCTTACACCAAATCATCAATCATGAGCCACTCTTCCCCTATGGACTTGCCTTCGAACACTATCCAAACCGAGGAACAAGACCCACGAAAATGGATCACATACTGTGACGTACAACGCCTTCCGTTGCTAGCTGATGAAACAAGGCCGATCTCTATCGGAGAGAGGGTTCTATCCCAGCCTCGGGCAGGTTTCTATGGGCAGACTTGATGTTCGAGATCGTCAAACGGCAAGCCACTACATCTAATATCACTGCTTGCCTGGAGACTGCGCCAGAAGATCCCATGGAACTGGTCGCATTGTTGTTGCAGGTCTACAGCAATGTACTTACACGAGAAGAGCGTGAAGAGCTGTCTTGGATCATACTACTCCTAACACACAACCAACACACTGGCCGGACCTTGACTCTTGCAAGTCTCGATCGCATGTTATTCGAGACCTCGCTGACTGGCCGCACGGGCACCTCTCTCGGTGAAAGAATACGCGACAACTTCACTCCTCTGTTTGATCTCGAACAAGAGGATGGGATCTCTCTCAGTCATCTCAAGGTCCACGATCCTGCACGCGCTTTTGGGCTTACGTGCACACCTTCCACGACGACTGTTACTTTTGCGCATCCATCACTCACTGAGTATTTTCTTCAACACCGCGACAAATCTCTCAACGGGAGGGTGAAAGATGCCCCGGTCTTCAACAGCGCTGAGCTACATTTTCGTCTACTACAGCAATGCTTTCTTAGTTTCGCTGAGCCTCAAAGCGAACCTTTGACCGAAGCGGCCGAAGCGTTTCGGAAGTACGCCGCTACTCACTGGTACACCCACCTCGCAGGCACTTTACCGAGTGACAATGTCGAAGCCCTGAATCTTTTGGAAGACGACCGTGAAGAGATGTTAGGGCCTCTTAACCATTTCTTCAAAGATGAGAATATCGTGCAGCACTGGTGTCAGCACCTACCAGCAACATTCTTTAGTAGAGCCAGATCCGAAGATGTGGGCGAGTTGAAAAGTCTTTGCTATTACCACTCAGACCCAGAAGCGTTCGAGTTTATCAAACTTTGCGCCTTCATGGGCTCCAAGAAGTGGCAGGACTTCTGGCTACCAGTAGCAAAGGTGCACGCCAAGAAAGGACTACATGGCGACTGGGATCGAAACCACTCACTCCAGGTAATCTTCCACATCAAGCACCTCGTCGATACAGAAGATGCGGTCGCAGATATCCGAGGAGAGTTGTCTCAGCAAGAGATGACTGAGGCTGCGGAATGGACCGAGTTGGAGTCGAAGACAGATCCGCCTGAATTCACCTTGAAAGAAGAGAGCTCGGGTTTTGAAGAAGAGGAGACATTGTCTTCTGAGGCGACTCAGAGTACCATTTAGCCATGATTGTGTTTGAGTCGGATGTGCTAGGAGGTTTCAAGGTAGATGTCAGCAGGTCGAAAACAGCGTTATGATGCAGCCAGTAGTACTTCAAGATACTTAAATCTATTCTGTAAACGCATTGAATGCACTGAGAATTACCCGGATATCGTAATGTAACGCGAGAATGTGTCGCATAGTCGCTGTATTGATTCAGGCTACATCGATGCAAGGTGAAGAAAGACATATGGCCTCGCCGAATAACTCCGACCTCATACTATATCTCCAATCACCTTTCTCGTATATCTGCCCACTCCGTCCACCTTCCCAGTCTTCTTATGCAACCACCTCCACCACGTCGTTTGACTTCAGAGGAGCCATCACGATAGGTCTCTGGTCGGTCTGCACAGCAAATCCCGACGCACCCGTTGAGCCACCCGCAAGCGCCTGCCTCAGCTGATTCAGGATAGTAAACTCGGTGCGCAGCTTGACGGCATATACAGCGACCTTATAGAAGCCCTGCAGGAAGAAGCGATCGCTGTAGGCCAAGCCCAGGACGCTGGCATCGAGTATGATTATGAGGACGTTGACAGCGATCAGATTGCGGAGATTGTCTCGAGTGGTGCGACGACAATTGCCGAGGAGCTCGAGGCTCTGGAAGTACTTCGATGTTTGCCAGATGTATAGCATTCCGATAATGCATTCTTGGATGAAGAAAGCGGCGACTTGCACCTTGTCCCAGATCAGGTTGGCCTTTGCAAGTCGTGCGATGAAGTGTGGGTGGCGCTACGATCAATTAGTACGGTACAGGTGCTTGCGACGAAAGACGTGCAGCAATCATTCCGAGCGTGACTGTGGTAAGGCCAAAGACGACCGAGTTAGTAGTAATCATATAGAGGATCCAGCGGTCTTTCTTCGTGTTTCTCCACACGAGGCCGAGGCGGGAGTAGAGAACAAAAGACTGAGCGACTACGAAGACGAGCCATGAGAGATAGATGAAGACGATGGCCGAGTAAGAGGTCCACTTGTTGAAGTTGGCCAAGATAATGGAGATGCCGTGGACTATCAGCCCCCAACTGCAGAGTAAGCAGCTCCAGAAGTAAAGACTGCGACGTGTGGCCCTGTAGAGTAGGCGGATGTTAAGCTCGATGCAAATAAACCAGGCGATTCCCAGAAAGGCTGATGCGGCCATAGACGAAGGTCGGTCGGCAAGTTCGGATGCCTTGGGGTCGCTGGGGTCTGTCTCTGAGGTCATGATCGCTAGCGTGAGTGAGGTGCTCCTCGGGCGGGTGTTGTTGAGTGTCGCGAGTTGAAAAATCTGGAGGCTGCGAGACGATGAGGTACGATAGAAAAGTTTGTCGGTGTGAGACGATATCGGTGGTCGAAAGCGTTCTCGCGTGGGCGTGCCTTCCTCAGTCACCCTCACGGTGACTGCCGTTTTAGACTCGGTACCGAGAAACCGCCCAGGGCACGCGAGCACACGAGCACGCGAACACATGTTGAGTGCCAAGACAATATCCTCGAATGCGACTGCTCTCCTAGAGGCAAGTCACCGTGCCCTTCATAACAAATTTCAGACCGGCAAATAAATCGATGAGGGTTATGAGACAAGAACGTGAATAAAATGATAACTTTTAAGATCTGGCAAGTTGCATGACGCAACAGATGACGAACCTGACACCTAGCATGCTGTCAAGACCACTTTCGTTTTGCATACCCCTAATCTCACTTTCTTGTGGAAGTGTTGACCTCAGCGACGTTCTCTTGCCTGCTCAAGATCTTCTTAGGGCCCCAAGTACCAGCTCTACCACCGGGATCAACACGACCCTTCTTGGGACTCATCCTCTCACCACCTCCAGCGCCTCCATTGAGCTCTTTGATGTTCTTGGGTGCGGCAGCCATCTTGATGGTCGATACGGTGTTCAATGGTGTTGCTGGAGCGTTGGCAGGGCCACTGCCACCGCCGTGCCTCTTGCCTTTTGGCTTCTTTCCAACTGACGTCTCGATCCAGGCACCACCCTCTTTCTTAGCCTTGCGCTCAGCTTCCTCTTTCTCGCGCTTCGCACGTTGTTCCGCTTCTCGCTCCCGTGCGGCCTTGTCGCGAGCCTCACGTCGGACGCGCTCCTCCTTGGCCCTCAGTTCCGCTGCCTGCTTCTCCCTCACTGCGCGCTCGCGAGCTTCGTAGGCCTTGGTAAATTCGTGCTGCTCGAACCGGACTTGGGCTTCTGTCTCAGCGCGCGCCTCGAGCTTGATGCAGGGGTAACATGGGAAGTGCGACGCGCGAGGCTTGTCGTCGTCGCTAATGTCGGGGCACACGTTGTTGGAGAGAAAGCCCGGACGGCACATCTCGATGTACGGGCGATCAGAGAGGTGGCCACATGTGTGCAGCTTCTTCCAGTAGAGGCACATCTTGAAAGTCTAAAGATATCAGCAACTTGGGTAGACACGGCTACCGGCTAGTACTTACGTTGTTAGAGTGTAGCTTCAGATTGGAAAGCAAAGGTCGCGACAATTCAGAGTTGCGTAGAAGAAGCAGAGAAGAGTGGAAGGACTGCTGTTTTAGACTTGAGAGAGGATGGAAGGTGCATGGAGGTGAGAGAATGTCGAGTGGCTCTTACTTTGCACATGGCTTATCGTATGCAAAGCGGCAGGAGTGTCTAAGGTGAGAGAAAGAGCACCATGCGAGGAAGGGGCGACCCTCCCTCATCGAGTAAGCAACGACAGATTGCAACGACTAAATGGAAACTGGACCGGAAAGACGTACGACTGAGACCAACGGTACAAGATATTGAAACTATAAAGGGTATATCCATCGCAATACACAGACCGGCGAGATCTGATGTCCATCCGTACAAATATCCTGGGTATCTTACCTACCCGAAAACATGCACAAGATAGCATGTCGGGCCACGAGACGCCGCAAGAAATAGCCTGCAAGCATACCGAGAGCAGGAGGGAACAGCGCAGACTTGTCTACGCTCTCATCTTCCGTCGCATCTCCGGACGGGCGCCGCGATGCTCAACCTCGGTGATGCGGCTGCCGCCAATCTCCTTGACCTTCGCTACGAGGGTGTCGGTCTGGTCGAGCTCTTCAATGTCATCGCCGCCTCCTATGCTCTTGCCCATGAGCAGGATGTTGGGCACTGTTCGTCGGCCTGTCGACTTGTGCAGGAAGGCTTGTAGTTGTTGGCCGATTGGGCTCTTATCGAGTTCGACGACGTAGGGTTCGGGCTTGATGTTGTACTTCTCGAGCAGGATGTGTTTCGCTTTCTTCGAGAAAGGGCAGTAGGATTTCGAAAAGATGATCACTGTAATAAGTTAGTAACTGCGCATGGCTCAATTGGAGGAGGCGTAGCATACTGGGACTCTTCTTCAAGATGGCATTGAGTTCCATCTCGACTTCGTGGTCCTCAAGCGTCTCATGCTCCATCATGGCTGCTTGATCGCGCGGCTTGCCCCCCTGTTGCGCGACGCCAGGGACCCTGTCGCCGTCCATCTTGACGCGGCCGGCGACACTCTTCTGGTCCTGCCCTTCCACCTTGACTTTGTGGTCTGTGTACTTGTCCTCGGCGTTCTTCTTTGCCTGCTCTTCGGCGGCTTTGAGTCGCGATCCGACGCTCTCTGCATCGCGTTGCTTCGCCGCTTCTGCGTATTCTTTTTCTTGTAGGGCTTGTTGGGTTTTTGTGTAAAAGTCGGATGTTTGTGTCTGGTGGGCTCCTCTTGACATATAGAACAGCACGACCACTGTGATGACAATGAGGATGCCATAGAACCTCATGCGACGTTGCGACGGCATGATGGCGATGTGTGTAGATGTGGTATGTGTCGTGTGATGGGCGGGTGCGCCGTATGCGTAAAGTGTCAAGCTGGTATGTTGCTCGAAGACTGCCGGTTACCAATGGCGGTAGAAGTATAGAGCCTTGTTTATACGGATCGACGGGCGGTGCTGATAGTATCCGTGGTTCGATGGAGGTCCGTGGACTGCGATGGTCGCAGGAGCGCGGTAGTAGCGCGTGGTGATGATTAAAGGTATGGAAGACGTGTGCGATAATCCTGCAAGGGAAACGTGTACAGAAAAGAAGTACACAATAACTGCTATATTCGCTGAAACAGTGCGGCGGTTTAGAGTGTGTTGGTGAGTTGGTGGACCCGGCGCTGGAAACAATGTGGAGGGATGGTGGCCCTGGCTTCTTGCCTTGGTTCGCGTCATGCCGCTTTCCGCATCTCTCCTCACTCCATCCCGGTCAACCGTCCGCCTGCCAACGCTGTGATTCGCGACGCTGAGCCACGGTGCCTGCCTAAATCCTCTTCTGTCCTGGCCTTCTTTGTTTGCATAGTTCCATGCGCTCCCAATGTCTGCCTAGACGGTGGACGGCACGCATTGTACGTAATTACGTGCACATGAGGGAGTTGTCTTGACGCAGTGCGACACTCGATACAAACCCCATTCGAGACCTCCACATTGAATTCGCAAACACGCAGGAGCACAGCGATGCAAGGCGAAGACGTTGTGCTGTGCCTCCGCTGACCACCCATCCCTGACCGACGACACTATCGAAATGCCGCCGACACCCCGACGGCGCGTGACCTCGCGTTGATGGAAAACGTTTCCAGCTTCAAACCAAGAACGTCGGACCGTCTACTCCATCAACACACGCCGTCGACTACTCACCGCGTAAGTGGAGGTGCCGTCTTGTCATCTCTTGGTGTACTCGAAGCATAGAGTAAGCTCCCCGCACCATGCGTCTCACGACGACATGCAGCCTGTGACCAGGTTCTCCACAGACGGCTGCAGTCCTGTACTGGGTTTAGCGCCTCCCCATACCGCTTTCGTCTGTTCCGCTACATGTTCCAGATCGTTATAGCATATAAAGCTCACTACGTCTGAGACTGTTCGGCCTAGTATCGTGGCACTTGAAGCGATCACGTCGTACACATCTCCTTGTACCGTTCCAGTCTTGACCATTGCGTCATCCATCGACCCATCATGTCTCCGCGCCTTCCGTCAACGCCTATCTCCATTGTGCCTTCCGCGTCCGAAGTCAAGGCCGGAGGGCTCAACCAACGCAACCTCGAAATCGCTATCAGAGCGCTCTCTCGCGATGGCCTCGTGGTGTTGGAAGACATGATTGACCATGCAGTCTTGGACCGGTTGAACAAGAAGATGGTCCAGGATGCACTCGAATTGCAGGCAAGAAAGGACAGTCCCTTCAACTACAACAAAGGAAACATTCAACAAGATCCGCCCATGACCCAGGAGTGGTTCAGTGACGAGATCTACGCCAGTAGGTGTCTATTGTAGCAAATCCTGCCACGCTCTAAACACATACTAACCTTGGATTAGATCCCATCGTGACGCAAGTCACTTCAACCACGCTTGGTCCTAAGCCTTCATTGCGCTTCATTTCTGGCAACACCGCACTACCACCAACTGCGTCATCGCCACCAGCCTCGCAGCCGATTCATAATGATGCAGACTTTGACCACCCCTCAATTCCCTTCGCCCTCGTGATAAATGTCCCTCTCGTGACTATGACGCCAGAGAACGGCTCCACGGAGGTCTGGCTCGGTACACACCAAGGTACCACTATTGCCGACCAAGAAGGCGAACACGGCGACCGTGCTAGCGGAAGGATCAAGCAGCATTTGCTCGATGCTCGCCGCGAGGTGCGGCCACCCACTCAGCCAGTCGTGAAGAAAGGTAGCATAATCGTTCGCGATCTGAGACTCTGGCATGGAGGGAAGCCCAACCTGAGCGAAGACCCGAGAGTTATGCTCGCGATGAGTAAGTTTCTTGCTGACGTGAGGTTCTTTGAACTGACTTCTTCTCACAGTACACTTCGCGCCATGGTATCGAAATTCGATGGAAGTCGAACTTGCGGAAGAGCTCGCTGAACGCTTATCGTCCGAAAAGACTGGTCTGCAGACCGCGGCCACGTACGTTTCGAGTGAGCAACTGCTCAAGAATTATTTGAATAGGCCATTTGGCAATGCGTACGATTTCGATCAGACAGAGAAGATTGACAATATCTTCTGAGGTAAACTCAGCACAGTTGCCGTCCATCGGCCTCTTTACCGCTAGTTTAGCAGCCAACATGTCGGTTCTCACGCCGTCATCACTCAATTTCACGCATCTCGTATTCCGCTCCGCCCACTTGGCACCGCCAATTTGCACTTGAAATGCACTGCAGCTTCGCAACGTCGATCATTTGATAGTTGGACGTGTGTCAGCATCACAGCCTAGCAGTCGTATGC